AACCGGATAATTTATAGTTGTTCGACTAACTACAATCGAACAACTTGCACATGTTCGACCAACTACAACCGAACAACATGCATTTGTTCGTAAAAATACAGTACACCCGATTCACGAGGAGAGAGTATAGAGAAATCAGTTACTGTTGTATGAGGATCAAAAATCAAGAAAAAGAGTCAAAGGCCATGAAAAGAAAGACAAACTTTAGCATCATATGAAATTTGTTTCCAGCAGTTTCTTCAGTGTTCCATAAAGGATCCCTCTTCCTTCTACCTTCCATTTCTTTCAATTTGTTTCCAAATCCAAAAAGGAGGAGAGAAGAAAAAAATACACAGATAAAGTGTACCAAAAACATCTACAAATAAAAGAGAATCAATAACCATAGTTAAGCATTACTCTAGCAAGATGCCATTCATCAAAAGATCATTGCAAACAGGCAACCTTCTTATAAATGTCTATTTACATGGTATACAAACTCATCATTAAAAAAAACTTCCGTATTGTAGTAACAGATGCAATAACAATGTCAAAAGTGCTAGAACTTATGTGTGAAGGAAATGTAACTTAATTCACAGAGGAGTTTTTTTGACGAATGTGTGGTCAAGCAAACCCACTACTTTTCCTTCTTTTTCTTTTTTTGGATTTTTTTGCTGTGTTGGGAGGGCTCAGTAGTCAATAGTAAATCCCAATTCCCCTACAGTTGGGTTCATGACACACCTCAAAAACCTTACATACCAACTGTCGGAGTACCAAGACAGTGTTCACCGGTTGAAACAGAGAAAAAATGGAGGAGGGGGTGGAGGAGATAGAAGAAGGTGGGTGTGTGAGTGAGTGAGTGAGTGAGGGTAAATATGGGAGTTTGTGTGTATATTATTGCAGATGGGTGTGTGAATAAGGATAAATATGTAAATTTGTGGTGTGTGATGAGAAAAATATATATTTACCAAATTATTAAAGGTGTGCCTTTAGAAGTGGTTTGCCTTGAGACAAATTATGGTGTGTAAATAGAGGCATCCTGCATTTAGAGCTATACCTTTATTTTTATTTTTTTAAAATACTATTTTACCCCTTAGGTAACTAGTCAAAGTAGTCGAAATCCTAACTACAACCAAATACCCAGCTCCGTCCAACCTCGAACCTCGGTCACTCCTTAACCCCTCTTGCCACACCCTAACCCTTCTCTACCATCCAGTGCCACCCCTCATTCGTCTCTGTACTCGAGTGCCATCCCCAATCCTTTCCTAGCATCTTACTGTCTTGTGTGTGATAATGGTATGGGACTGGTGTTCGGACTTCATGAGAAGAAGGCCTCTCAATTTCGTTATTTAGAATATTATAAAAAGGTTATACAGTTTCCATAATTTTTTAAACCAAGTGGGCCCTAAACCAATCCATAGAGAATAGGCCCAATTTCTCAACAAGAAGTGGGCCTTTTGTTGATTCTGTGGGCCATAAAAAGAGTAAGGAACCTTTGTGTAATTCATTTCAACAATCAACAGTACCCTCCTCTGTTGGGTCCTGGTCACCATCAGTAAGTACAAAAATCAAAAAAAAGGTAAGGGGGTCGTTTGGCAAGTAGTAAATAAAAAAGTTAAAAAAAAATTGAACTCATATAAAAAAGTCAAAGATACATTTCCATTTATTCTATTTTTTGTATTTTTTTTCGTAAAAAGTCAAAAAAATATTTCCAAAACATATTTATTATATTTATTCTTTTCATCTCATATTTTAGTAAAAAAAATACTAAAAAAATTACTTCTCAAAATCAGAATTTAAGTTCAAATCTCATATTTTAGTATGGTTCATATTTAGTTCTTAAATGGTGGGAACTACATAAAAAATAATAAATCACCAAAAACAGTTTAGGTGCCTAGAAGATTTTAAATACAAAATGTATAAATGTGACACATATAATCGCAGTTAGAGATACAAATATATATATTTTTTTATCTCATATCCACATATTATGTGTATAAAATTTCTATATATTATATGTTTAAAATTTCTAGCACATAGCACAGTCGTAAATCACCACAATACCTACAATTTTCTGAGTGAGTAGAAATTATTTCACAAACAAAAGAAAAAGAAAAGCAAAGAGAACCTGTCCGGTTTGCTACCATCTATCTTAATTCTATTTTATTAAGCACACACACAACAACAAAAACTACACAAGAAGTTAATTTTGGAAACTTCATTTAGAGCCAAGTAGGATTATTATGTGTCAACAACAAGCTTTCAAAATTACAAAACTAGTTGCTTTTAGTATATTTTAACATAAAATTAGTTTAATGGTTAAAACTTGGATTAATAAGGGTGAATATGACGACAATCATTGTGTAAACTGTGTGCTTGTCAACGAGTCTTCAAAATTGCAGCCGTAACTACTTTTGTATAGTACAAAACTAGTTTAATAGTTAAGACATGTCAACGAGTCTTCAAAATTGCAGCCCTAACTACTTTTGTATAGTACAAAACTAGTTTAATAGTTAAGTTTAGATTCCAGTTGAGAATTAATTATTTTAATTAATTTTTTAAATTTTTATAAAAAGATGTACATAAAGAATGGAGAGTGATGTGACAAAAATAACTTTTTTACTATAAATCCATGTTGCCAAACGAAACCTAATATTGATGTTGTGGGTTTGAATATGAGGACATTTACTTTATATATAGATAAGATATTCCACGTATCCACTAAGGTGTATTGTCTTTTTGCACGAGTATTAAAAATATGTTTAATTCCAATAATAAATTATGGAGATTCAAACCTAAACTTTAAACGAGAAATCTATACTAACTGTTTTTAATTACATTACATATCTATAAATTATGACTGTAAATTTGAGCAGTGTGCACACCCTTCTAGTTAATGACAAAGAAGATTTCTTGGGAATGGCATTCCAGCTCTCTTCGGAAAATCCCACAATCAGATGTCCAAATTGATGAAATAAGATGTGATAGTTTTATTAATCAGTTGACTATCTACATGATATCCGCTAGTGTAAGTTTGAGCACATGGTACAAAAAACAGGGGACATTGTAAGGGCTTCAATTCTTGGTCAAGAAAATCAATTGGCTTAAAAAAATAGGGTATATGCGGAGACAAACCCACTAAAGATGGGGTATATACTAGCCGCTAGTATACACGATGCGTGTACAAATACATGTGGTTGAGAAAAAAACATGAATAATTAAAATTTTGAATATCCGAATAATTTTTTATAGTGATAGTTTTCAATTATTATAAGTATTTTTGGAATAGAAAATTTGTGACATTTACATCAACTTCAGACTTCACTTTATATATAGTATAGATATTAGAGGTGCGCACACAATACATGTGTAATTTATAATTAAACCTTATAATCGTGGCAATTATTGGAAGTAGTATGAGAAAATTGAAGTAGTTTATAATAGATATCGTGTTTTGGGGGCATTTTGGGGAAAAAAAAAAGACATCTACACTAACAAAAGTATTTGCTTTATATATTAGTATAAATAAATGAATAAATTACCTATGTATCGAGAGGCCTAAATGCAAAATTTCTAGCCAAAGCTCTCTTTGTTTTAGCAAATATATATATATATATATATATAATATTTATTTATGCAAAATGAATTTCTCATTTTTTTTTTATCAAAAAATGTTTTGTATAGAAAATGTTGTTTTATATTTAGTTATGAAAATTAAAGTATTAATTGTTGTATTAGTAATAGTTTTGGCGGTGGTGATGATTGGGGGTGGGGGAAAAAGTGGTGGGATAAGGGAGCTGGTATTGATAGTGGTAGTGTGTGGTGTTATTGGTAAGATTTCAATGTGAAAAATATTTTTGTCTTTGAAAATAGAAAATATTTCTCACTAACTAAACTTGTTTTCTATTGGCAAATAAGTTTTTGGGTAAATTACAAATATATATACCTTGAAATTTGCTTAAAATATATATTGCTTCATTTTTATGAAAATTACTTCATGCACCTTTAAATTTTTAATCAAATAATAAATTGCTTATTTTATTAATAAATCATTAAGTCAATTAACAGTTTTTAATAATATCATAAATATCAATTAACTATTATGATAATTTTATTGTTATATGAGAGAGTAGTTAGAAATTTTATTTATTTTTATTAATTTTGTAAAATAAATATGAGAGAGTAGTTAGAAATTTTATTTATTTTTATTAATTTTGTAAAATAAAAAATTCTAACAAGGGGTATTTGTAATTTTCATAAATACAAGGAGCAATTCATATTTTAAGTAAATCTTAAAAAGTGTATTTGTAATTTATTCCAATTATTTTTTTTGTTGATTTTTATTTTCTATTATATCAAATACTAAATATATATATATTCAAAAGATATTTTCTATTGAACAAACAGGGTGAGTCAACCGATTCAAAAGTTGAAAGTTTTGATTGAGTTTGCGAGTTTTGTATTTGCTGATGGGGCACTCAATCCTCACATGGTCAATAGATATCACTACTTGCAAATTGCAATACCAGACCTATAATTTATGTTTTAAAATCTTTAGCTCCTAATTCTGGATTGTAACAACCTTAATCCTAGGGTTTTGTGTTGGCTTAGCAATGAATCTTGTATTCTATGTCGACACCTAACCATAGTGTGCTAATAAGATTATTAAACACCTATTTATCTAGTTATGGTTTGCTCTTTAGTCTATCTTTATCATTTTATATAATTTTCTTGTTACGATTGTTTAATCAAGTCAAAAAAGTCGGATTATGAAGCATAAGTTCACACTCTTTGAGAATTTTTTGGGAGACATGGCATGATCCTATAGGTCTATTAAAAAGGTTTCTTTGTTATTAAATTATTCAAAATAATAATTATGTTTTCATTAATCCTAATTCCAACCTGACAACCCGTGTTCTTGAAGCTCATTACACGTGCAATACTAGTTTCAGCATGTGACAACCTCCGTTTATATAAACTCATATCACCCTTTTCACATCACTTCATCACAAACACATTCAAATCTCAAATTGCCCGCATTACATGGCCCAACTTAGCGTCTCATTGCTACTTCTCCTCTCCTCCCTTTTCATCGCCGGCACGGCCAGTCCGAACGGTCCTCCGGCTAGGGCCTTTGTCGAGTCACAGTGCCGGGCCACACTCTACCCTCGGCTATGCATCCAATACCTCTCCATCAATGCGAACACAAGTGAACAAAGCCCACAACAACTGGCCCAACTTGCCTTGATGGTGAGCCTAGCCCGGGCCCAATACACAAGGGCTTATGTGACCAAAGTAGCTTCACAACTCAAGAAAATGAAGGCCAAGGAGTACCAAGCTGTAAAGGATTGCTTAGACCAAATTAATGATGGTGTGGACCAACTTAGCCAATCGATAATTGAGCTCAAGCGAATTATTCAAGATGGGGAGGGCAATTTCATGTGGCACATGAGTAATGTTCAGACGTGGCTTAGCACGGCGCTCACTGATGCAAACGGTTGTATTGATGGTTTTTCGGGGCATGCCATGGGTGGGAAGGTTAAGGCCACAATCAAGGCTAGGGTCCTAAATGTGGCCCAAATGACTAGCAATGCATTGGCCTTGTTCAATCGGTTTGCGGCAAGACACCGAGCCAGGGGTGCAACCACCAAGCCCTAAGGCTTGAGCCATGGTCTTTTGAGTGCCTAGGTTTGGCCTTGTCATGAATCACTCGTGTTTTTTTGTTGTAAAATACTTTGATATGTCATTGCAATCTGTGAATATGAAGTTTTGTTGTCATCATTAAGTATATGAAACTTATAGATGTACTCTTTTTTAAATTTAATAAAATTATACTTTATAAATAGGGTAATACTATGGTACAAAAAGGTGTATATCATATGTAAGTTATGTCATTTGTGTGTTTAATTACCACAAATGATATAATTCAATACTATGAGAGTCATAACTTTTTTTTTTTTTTTTTTTTGGAGTTATAACTAAACCTACATAAGATAAAACAAAGAACTTTTGAATCAATATAACAAAATATTGAGTACAAAAATATTGTGTACTTCTTGTACTCGTTAGTGCATCAATATAATTTCCTTTTGTTCCAAAAAAAAATAAAAAAAAAATATTAAATCATAACTAAAATAATGTCATAAATAATATTATAATGAATTATAACTAAAATCACAATAGATCAAAACTAAATAATATAAATATCGTAGCTAGAGGTAAATATAATATATACCACCAAAAATAGAATTTCCCTTATTTGGCTGGTACGCCAAAAGACTAGGTAGGATGAAACATATGAGATCAATTTTTATATTCCTTTTCATTCTGAAATAGTCCATCCCTTCTCTCATATCACAAGTAAGAATTAGATAAGAAATACAAAAACTTATTATAGAGTTAGATTTAAAATCACAAGTAAGAATTAGATAAGAAATACAAAAACATATTATAGAGTTAGATTTAAAAGTAAGTTGCACCAATAAATTCTATAAAATTTTATTCATACAAGTGTATTCTGTAATTTTTTTTTTGATAAATGCAATAAATTAAATAGGTTATGATTATTGGATCGATTTAATATTTTGGAAAAATTACTCATAAATCTCATTTTGATAAATGTTGCTCTAATTAGTCTTGAGTGTTTTTTCTTAAACCATTTAGTCCTTTTTATTTTTAGTATGATATATGTTTTTGGTATATTATATACGGAGTTTACATTTTTACCCCTATTGATTTCATTTTGCGGGTCTCCCAATCTCGCCAACAATGGCAGCCATCACAACCCTAATCTCTCTCTCTCTCTCTCTCATTTTCTTCCTCAACACTAAAACACACTCAGAACTATTGGAGGTGACGCCGTTAGGCTTCGAAAAGACGGTGAAGAGGCCTCAGTTGGTGAGAAGTCGCACTTCGAGCACACTATGTCTCTGGCAGAATGATCGAACACCACCACCGTCATTGGCAAAGGTCCTCCACTCGGAGGTCTCATCGATCAAGTGTGATTCCAACATCAGACCGCACTCCGAGCACACTGTGTCTCCGACAGAATGATCGAACACCACCACCGTCATTGGCAAAGGTCCTCCACTCGGAGGTCTCATCGATCGAGTGTGATTCCAACATCAGACCGCACTCTGAGTACACTGTGTCTCCGACATAATGATCAAACACCACCACCGTCGCTCGCTTGCAGTCCGAGTAGTACACGTTGCCCATTGATTGGATTCCTGGACAGATCTAAGATGGGGTTTGATGCAGAGGATTGGAGAAGTTGATGATGCTGATGTAGATGATGCTGATGTAGTTGATGTCGTGTCTCCGTTAGAATGATCGAACACCACCACCGTCACTCGCTTGCAGTTCGACAGAGGATTGGAGATGTTGATGATGTTGATGTAGTTGATGTTGTTTATGGTTGATGATGTTGATGATGTTTTGATGATGTTGTTGATGTTTGATGATGTTGATGATATTGAAGATGTAGTTGATGTTTGATGATGTTGAAGATGTAGCTGATGTTGATGATATTCACAATGTTGGTGATGTTGTAATGTTTGATATTGTTGATGTTGATGATGTTGCTGATGTTTGATGATATTGAAGATGTGGTTGATGTTGATGATGTTTGTTGATGTTTGATGATGTTGTTGATGTTATTGATGTTCGAAAAGGAGAGAAATCTAAAAAAGGCCCATAGTAAGCTTTTTGAGTATTTTTGTCATTACAACATAAGTAAAAACTTATATTTGCCCTCCATTAAAAAAAAATTACGTGTTAAATAAATGGGTATATACGTAATTCACATTCAAATAGGACTTATTAGTCTACAAAATAAAAGACAGGACCAAATGGCTTAATAATTTAAAATTTAAAATTTATTGATATTTTACCCTAATTTTTTTTTATATAAATGATATATATGAAAAATTCAACAAAACAATTTATTTAAATTATTTCATTTTTTTTTCTCTACACGTACATTATTAACTCTTGTACCATAGGCAAAACAAAAAGTCTAGGGGGAAGAATTTGGCTCCTAGATTTATGTGAGAGTATCGTTACCAATTTTATTAAAATTTTGTCCTCGGTCCCGTTTGTTTTTAAAGGTAGAATGAACAAGATTCATAGTGAAGAGATTAAGCAAAATTATATTTATTTTGATGATAGTTGTTAGTGTAGAAATTGTTAAATTATTTTTATATAAAATAATAAAACAAATAAAAAATATAAAAAATTAAACATTAATATTTAAAAAAAATTCTCAATATGTAAAAAATAAAAAAATTTCTAATCCCCTCACTATTTTTCTAATACCACCTCCAACTCTTCCATCCCAATCCCCTTTCCAACCCCTATCTTAATCCCCTCCTCCATCCTAATCCCTTCCCCAACTCTACAAACAAACACAACACTAAGGCCTCGTTTGGGAACAGACTAATTTAGTAACTTTTTGGCTATTTAGCTAAAAAGGTAGCTAAAAAAAATTTGTATGTTTGGGATGACTTTTTGGCTAATTACGAAAAGATGTGCAAAAAGTAGAGAGAAAAGAGAATCTTTGACTTTTTGGTATGGGTTGTTGGCTTTTTAGCTAATTTAGTAATTTTTTGACTAAAAAGGCAAATTCCCAAACGAGGCCTAAATAACCCTACCTCCATCATAATCCTCTCCTATCTATTACACCCCAAAACAAACGGGGCCTCAACTATTTTAGTATAAAATTACAGAAATATACTCCATCAAACTTAATTATTGGCTAGATATTTTAGTTGAATATGAACCCACTAGCTAGATGTAGTTATGAAAAGAGAACTCAACAAATGAAATAAAGAATAGAGAATTTGTTGAAGAGTGTATTTGAAAAGATGGTTAGCTAAAATAGAAAAATAAATTTTAAGTTATAATTTAATTAAAAATTTGACTATTTTAATAGGGATGCTCTCAATAATGATAGTGAGTAATGAAGATTGAAAGTATATATTATAAGGTTTATATGTAGAATGTATTTAAATCACATATTAATATTTTAAAATAATTTTTAAATAAAATTTATGAATTTATAATATTACAGTATAAAAATACTTATACACGTGGGCATATTAAAAAAAAAAAAAAGAGAAAAGAAAAAGAAAAAGGTGGTGGGTATATTTAGAAGCAATTATAACTTTGTAACAAAGCAAGTGTTGAGTTTAGGCGCACTCCAAGCCACACTTTAACACTCTCGTATGCTAACTTGGAAACATTAATGTCAAAGCCCCTCGTAATAAAATTTTAATATATTAAGAATAAGTAAAAAAAAAATTTAATACATATTATTATTATCAAAATCTTAAATTTTAAAATAGTATAAACTTTGATTTAAATGTTAATTTTTAATAAAATTAATATTTTTACAATTCAATCATTAAGATCTATCAAATAAGATCTATATTGGCTACAAAATTCTTATTTTTTTTTATTACCGTTGAAATTGATGTAAACAGTAACCATAACATGTTACTTTGTTTGACAGTAACATGTTATTCTGGTTTATAGTAATATGTTATTCTGACAATATTATTCAAGAAAAAAAAAAGAAGATATTTTATTTTATCGTTACTCAATTATATATTTTCTCCTTAAGAAATTTATTAAACAAAATAAATTAAGCTATACTTTTTACCAAATAAGAGTCCAATAGAAAATTTTTGACAAATTTCCCTTTCAAATAATACTATAATTAATACTATTCAAATAATTAAAAATTCTTTCTTCCTTTTGCGTATTCTGATAGACACTCAGAGGAGATTATTCCCCCCCCTCTCTATTTTTTCTTCCTTCCAAACATTTTTTTTTTTCATTTTTTTTTTTTTTTTTTTTTTTTTTTTTTTTTTTTTTTTTTTAAAAATTACACTAAAGGTCTCTATTGTTTAGAACTTTTATCATTTTAATCCTTGACTTTTCAATTGTGGCGCATTTAATCTTGAATTTTGAATCTTGTTTCAAATAAGGACAATTGAATATGTCATTGTTCAATTTCAAGGGTAAAGTTGTCAATTTGATAAAATATAAACTAATTTGATAAAAATAAATATCAAAAAAATATTTTTAAATTTTAAAAAATTATTTTTACCCACCAAAGATAAAATTATGTAAAGTTGACAAATATTTTACATATTAATTGTTTTTTACCAAATTGATTTCTATTATGTGTTTTGATGATGATCATGTAATGGCTAGCTATTTTTATTTTCATTAAATTAGTTTATATTTTTTCAAAAGTCAAATATGGCAACAATTTTGATATCATTATTAAACCAATCCATAAAATCAAAAAATCCAAAACTAAAAATATTTTATATATTAAATATATTGATTATACATTAAAAGCCTAACAACCACCCATTACATGATTATCATCCAAACACATAATAAAAATTAATTTGGTAAACTAAATAAATAAATGTGTAAAAGATTTATTAATTTTATATAATTTTATCTTTTTGGGTAAAAATAATTTTTAAAAATTCAAAAATATTTTTTTGACATTTTTTTTTGTCAAATTAATTTATATTTTATCAAATTGATGACTTTGTCCTTAAAATTGAGTAATAATATCTTCAATTATCCTTATTATAACAAGATTCAAAATTTAGAATCAAATGTATCATAATTAAAAAGTTAGGAATTAAAGTGACACGAGTTCCAAACTATACGATTAATGTAATTCCCCTTTTTTTAATTTTGGATTGACGAAGTGATATGTATTTGTGTCAACAATGCCAAGAATACGGAACGATTCACAAAAATACAATGAAAAGTTGGAATTATACCACTTCTTGTGACTTATTTTGTATTTTAACTTTCTTATTGGCATTAAAGTGTATCTATGTGATTAGAGGAGAACGAGTTTTGTGATTAGATAATCATTTCTTCTATGGATTGAGAGGAGAAACATAAGGACCCTAATTTGTTTGGTATCATTTTATATTTTATTTTTATATTCTTAGAAACAAAAATAATAAAATTTTCGAAAATACTGATCTTTTTAATTTTTGACAGAAAACTGTATTTTCAAATTTTAATTAGAAAAATAAAAAACAACTTCTAAGTGTTTCTTAAAAAATGGATGCTTTTAGAAACATTTCTTAAAAATAGCAGTAGTCTTTTCCCAAAGAGCTTGGTTGTTGGGTCTCTTTGTCTACTTTCAACACATATTTTATTTTCAGTGAACTTGAAATTAATTTAATTATTTCACAAATGCATTTAATGATCCACATGAGTCAAGAGATTGCTTTGTAGTCTAACTAGGGCCTTTGGCTTTCTAGCTGTGGTAGATTTTTAATTATCTAGTTGTATATAATGTTTATCATATTTTTAATTAATTTTCTATCAACTGATTAAAAAAAAATTATAATAAAAAAAAGAAAAAGAAAATTAGTTGTAGTCTATGTGGTTAAGATATGGGCTTTCATATGAGAGTATGAGAGAGCCGACTTCATTCACAACATAAATCTTTTTTCATTTTCAGTGAAATTGTGAATTTTTTTTTCCCACTTAATTGCGCTGTGAAAGATTAGAATGAATTGAGCTATTCATGAATAGTCCGACCTTGGTTCATTTGCTAAATGAAATGAATGAGTCAAGCCAAACTTTTAAATTTGTTTAGTTATTGATCCAAGCTTGAGTAGCACAAATATCGGATAAAACCAATTTGAAAATTTTGTAATTTTGTCATATAATAATTTGAGAGTGACAACCCTATGATTTTGAAGGGTCCTAACCCTATAATTTTTGAAACCTTATAATTTTATGACTATTTTATTAATTACTAGTATAAAATGAGATTTATTTATTTATTTTTTTAAAACCACATAACCCCCTTTTTTTACATGCAAACTAAATTAGGCTGTTAAACATTATGTTAAATTTAATAATAAGTGTAAAACACATGCTAAACATAAGGATATTATACGCTCATTTACAAATTTTAATAAGATAAATCGCACATAGAATAAAATTCAGAGTTGCCTCCCACGCTAATGATAAAAATATTCGTAATTCATACACTTTAATTACTTATATATAGGAATATTTAGTCTTTTTTAATAAATTATTAACAAGCCTAACAAGGACTTTATTTTCAAATGGGAGGGAGGTAAACTAGGCATGGACCAAACCACAAAATGATAAAATATAATTTATCCAAAAACTAACTATAAAAGAGGAATATTTTTTACTTTTATTTTGAACTTACAATAAAATATACCAAACAAGCCATAGTCTATAATCTAATTGGTTAAACTATATATAATTTATAATCTATTTCAACAACTGCACAAAACGATCCATTATGTATGAGGGCATTGAAGGCTTTAACACTACATCTACAAACTTGTCTAATATGCCTCTTGAATTTTCTCTCTTGATACCTTCTCTTCATTTTTAATTTTTCTACCAAATTGAAAGAGAAAAAGAAAAGAAAATCAACTCCCAATGACAGGCAATGTCTCATAAGACACCATTTCTAAATTTAAAATTTGAGTAAAATACTACTCCCTTTATACCCTTGCTATCACCATACATATATTTTGAGCAAAACTAAAAATCCAAAAAAAGAGAAAAAAAAAACCTTGGAAGTTGAATTGAGTAGATCAGAAGCTCAACTGCACATTATCAAGTCCAGCTGTGTAATAGAAAACAGAGAGATTACATTTAACGGACATGTAGAAAAACCCATAAATAAAATACAAAGAAGCTGTTCCGGGAACTTACAGACCAAACCCGAGGTCAGAATGAGAAGTCAGTAACGTTCTCAGAATGAGAAATACAAATTTTCCCTATCCCGAACAGCACACAATGACAATAACAATTAAAGAAACCATTGTTCTATTACCTGTATAGCAACAAATTTTAAGTTTCAGAATGCAAATACTCTGGTGCGAAAAAACCGATGTCAGAACCAAAATTTTATCAACTCCAAGAATACAAATACAACCCTCCAGAAGGGTAGCAAATGTAACAATTTTCTACGCAAAATTTTATCCGATCTCTGATTCCCATCATAATTTATCAGCACTAGTTATGAACTTAACCAGGGGAATACATTGGGGGATGAAGGCAAGCGTGCAGTAAGAACTTCAACTCCCATCTCCGTCACCTACACAAAAAAACATATCTTCATGAAATTTAAGGCAAAAAATTTGTGACAGAAATTCAATGGCTATTCACTAATGCTTTAAGGGTCGAGTGTGTCCAACCATATGTGCAGCATAACTGGTATAGTCTATAAAAATCTTAAACAACAAAAGAAAAATAAATGGAAAATCCCAATAAAATAAACATAACAAAAGGGAACAATTAGATTTACTTGTGAAGTAAATGAGTCAATCTATGTCCCTGTTCCAGTCAATGATGTATCATGCTTATTGGAAGAATGGAAAAAATTTAGGGAACATACATAATTTTCGAGGGATAAATTTGAGCAATATTTTCAAAACCTTGGACTAAAAAAAAAATTTTTGAAAAATTGAAGGGCACGTGCCCCTCCTGATCCTATAGTAGCTCTGCCACTCTGCATGCAGTGGTGCATTCATTACGGTAGATGGACCAAATTTTCAGGTGAGCAATCAGTTTGTGTTGGATAAAAGGCCCGTTAGGATAAACAAACAATTGCAAAAGTCTAATAAACCATACTGACGCAGAAAGTATAAGCAAGGGGAAGAAAGTTACCAAAAGTGTATGCTCAAACTGAGCACTGCATTTGCCATCTGCAGTAACAGCAGTCCATCCGTCAGGCCACATTCGATCACGCCAAACACCTATTAAGAAAAACCCTTCAAGATTTAAGTCGCTGGTCGCAAAATTTATAAACTAATAGGTTCATTATTCTAAAAATACCTGCATTAATCATAGGTTCAATTGTAAAGGTTTGCCCAGCCTTCATCACACCAACTGCTTTATTTCCTACGTAGGTTAAGGTCAATGCAGAAGTGACAAAACAAAACTCACTAGCAATCAAAGAGAGGCTGAATTGTTAAAATCAGAGTAGTGAATGAACAATTCATTTTGATATTTACATTCCTAAACTTGCATTGGAAAAATAAATAAAAATTAACGAATCCAAAAGAAACTTTATTGAGGATACTTGCATAGTGGGGAATATTTGGCGCACAGTGGAAAAGTTCTCCAATACCATGACCACAATATGATTTCACCTATTTCAAATATTGTTAGGGAGTTCTAAGCAATTTCAATGAAAATTATAAACCTCAGGAATTGCAGATATGAAGCATATTGTTACCACAGATAACCCAGACATAGAAGCATGTCGATTAATCACTTCCCCAATTTCCCTGAATCGTACCCCGGGTTTCACTGTTGACAGAACATAAAAACAATGATTATAATGTGCTGATTTTATAAAGATAATGAAACTGATTTCAAGTAACACAGCAAGAGTGTTTACACGGTAATTCTAACAGATACATAGATCCAGATCAAGCAGGTAAAGCTTTATACACACAATCATCTGACAATTTAGAGTTCTAATAATATCTCATAGACACCGGTCAACAAAATGAGGTACTTCATTTTATGCAATATAAAAATAGTGAGCACGTGTTCAGATTACAAGAATCAGGAACAGGTTGAGAATGCACCCCCTTCATTTGAGATTCCTGTGTTTTGGAAATTAGTTCCAGTTAGATGTGATACCTAGCTGTGCAAAACATGTGTGGAAGCTCCAGTGCAGAGAAGATATTGATTGAGAAATTTGAATTTTTTTTTTTTTAATGGATTTGACTGAGTTTTAATTTGGCCATTAAAGCATGAACTTCGGAATATCAATAACAAGTATTAAGTACCTTCCAGAGATGAATTAACTATTAAGCAATAAAAAAGGTAATCATAATAATAGCATACAAAAATATCAATGGGAAAACATAGAAGGAGATTACTTATAAAGATATGGAAACCATTGCTAAAATAGACACCCATCGATGTCAATGCATCACTACAAAAACGAGAAATATTATTATCCCTGATCTTAACTCCAGATTACCCGCATTATATAGAAGAAAGATTACACAGAATGCAAGAAACTAACTTGACTTCTAGCTTACAGTAAATTGAATATCATAAGAAAATGCCTAGGGGGAGGAACGACATTCAACAGCAGTGTGTACACGAACCAATTCTTTTAATAGACATTGGTAGTTAATTATAAAATTTCTTCGTAAATAGATGATAATCCACCTGGACTTAACTTCAAAATGATTTCAGAGAAAAGTAGGCCAAATTCTTTCACATTTAAAATAAGCTACTTCTTAAAGATTCCAGAGAACTACTTAGAAATTACAATTCCAGCACAAAGCTTTAACTTCATAATTTTTCTAACACTGTGTTTGGTTGGGGGATTTGGGAAGGAATTTGGAAAGGGAAAGGGAAAAAGTGTGTGAAACTAGGTAAAATGCAGGTATATTTTATTCATATTTCATCTACCTTTTTCCTTTTCCTTTCCAAATCCCTCAGCCAAACACGGCGTAAGAGAAAATACCTCAATGGGGAAATCTTTTTCCAGACTTCAATGACAAGCAAAACAAACTACAAAACCATAAGCAGAACTAATCATGCAGTTTATTTGCAGGATTAATCATCAAGAAGGTATGTGATGGCCAATAAAAATCAATTGCTCTAGAAACTAGTTCCAAGTTTAGCTTAAAGAGGGCAGTATATGTAGGACCTTTAAACATAATAGTCAGTCAACACTGAAAACACAAAAATGACCACAGAAAGCAAAGGGTAAGGTGTAACAAGAGGATGTGGCAACTTTTTTTTTAGATAGAATACAGGCAAACAGATTACACGCCAGAAGCATCATTACAAACAATATCCACAAGTGACATGGGAACCTCCTCCATCCACACTTGTTGGTGATCGCAGCTCCGAGCCAATCTAGCTAACCCATTAGCCAACTCATTGCCCTGCTTCCTCACATGGATGGCCTGAAAACGCCGAAAACATCTACTAGAATTCACAGCTAGCAGCAAAATATGGCCACATCCAGATAGGAACTCATCTCCCTCACACAAAGCCTTGACAATATTTAGTGAGTCTCCCTCTACTTGAACATCAGTAAAACCCAATTCCCTAGCCAAATCAATCGCTTTCGATGCCGCAAATGCTTCCACACAATCGGCATCCGCCCAAAAGGGGAGTTGCTCTGACAGAGCAGCCATCACCTCCCCCGAATGATTCCAGATGATCGCTCCAACACCAACCATTTGCAAGTCTGAACCGAGCCCCATTAAAGTTGATCTTAACCCAGCCATCCTCCGGAGCAGACCATTGAACATCTACTACCCTTCGGTGTTGTCCCTGCATCCTCTGTTGTGCATGTACAAAGTCATTAACCAAAGTACACACCATATGCACAGTATCTTCAGCCGTGATGTGAGTATCACGAAAAATTGTTTGATTTCGCCTTGTCCAAATACCCCAGCAGAATGCAGCAAACAAACCCAGACTCAACCCCATGCTTCATAACTTGCCAAAACCACTCTTTGAAATCATTGTTGTGGGCCCACCGAAGCACACATCTCAATGGGCTGAAATTCCAAACTTACACAGCCAACTCACAATAACAAAGACAATGCATCAGCGTTTCCATGCAGTCACTCACCACAATTTGCACACGTATCATCAATTGGGATTTTCTGAATACGCAAAAGAGACTTCATGGGCAAAATATTATTACATGCTTTCCGCACAAACACTTGATTTTATTCGGAAGGTTAAGTTGAGGATGTGGCAATTTTAAGTTCCATAGAGGTTGATATAATCTAGTAAGTAATATATAAAAGAAACACATACCAATTGCTATTGCCTTCTCCAAGCACTCATAAGTACATTGAACTAACTGCCGAGATGCTTCATCAACATTCCCCACAAAGAAAGTTTCATTGAGATCACCTGCATAACGAGTCAGTGATTCAACCAAATGGTCCTATTCTTAAGCATATAATAAAAAAGGCATACGCTTCTTACCATGGACACCTTTATAATACACAGTGACATCAACATTTACAATATCACCATCCTCTAATTTCCTGAAACAATTAGTAACTGTACAATCAGAAAAGCATAATTCAGGCTCTACTTAGTTTAAAATTTTATCATGAACTTCATGTACCTACCATAAAGTTATCAAGTGACAAAAAAAAAAGGATCCCACTTTTTTTCTTTTCCAAAGTTGGGGGGAACTATGGAAATGTTTCTAATTTTGGTATTAATCGGATTATGCCTAGAATGGCATGAAATCTACTTAGTGGAGACTTTTGATAAATGGGACAAAGCAATTTGGAAGACAACCCCAACATCTTCTTTGGCCCATGTGAAAGGAGAGGAATAAGCAAATCTCTGAGAAAAAGAAACTTCTACTTGTAAAAATTTAACAAATTCTTAAATTAACTTTAGCCTTCAAGGGGACAGACCACATGCTCTTGGGCACCTTCCCCGATATATTAGCTCTCAAGTTGGAGTTAGGGATGAAAATTTGAACCCGGTCTGACGGGGATCCAGACCGCCCCGTCCCGATAAATAGGGTTTTCCCCGAAAATTATTCCCCATAGGGCCGGGGCTGGTATTAAAAAACACATCCCCGATGATTTTCGGGCTGGGGACGGTGATAGGTTCCCCCGGCCCTGGCCCCGCAATTTCCTCGAACCATCCCCGTTGCCCCCTGTATATACATATATAATATGTGTGTGCTTAGTGTGTTTAGAGACTTAGAGTTCATCTATTCAGAATTTTAGATTCTCAACTCTTCCTCTCTCTCTCTCTGTCGTTCTTCTTCCCTCCCTCCACTCTGTGAAACTCTCTCTCTCTCCCTCCCCTCCTTTCATTGTCACCGACACCACCACTTCTCTCTCCCTCTCTCTTTCTCACACCTCGTCTCTGTTGCCTCGTGATGTCTTCGACAACTTCGTCTCTAGATCTAGAAGATCGTCTCCGGTGTCCTTCCACCGTCACCATCACTGTTACCGACACCACCACCTCTCTCTCTCTCTCTCTCACTCACTCTCTACATGTGTGTTCTATTTTCAGATTGAACCAGATCAGAGCTTGACAATCTGAGCAAACAAAGGCAAGATGATAATGATCCCCGATCTGGGTGCAGATTTGAGATAACGGTGGCGATGGCGTCTGATCTGTGTGTGTGATTGGATTGGATCTGATCTGTGTTATATTTTCAGGACGAAATTTTATTTTTTTTTGGTTAGGGTTTTCTTAGATCTATGTGTGTCATGAACAAACCTCCTAAATTGTTGAGTTGTTGAGTTATCTAAATTTTTTTTTGTTAAATTGTTGATGATTGAGGCTTTTTTGGGAATTTTTCAGATCTGAATTTTCAAAGTTGAGTTTGTTGTGGTTGATGGGGGCAAGGGTGTTGGGGGTGTGGGAGATGGGTTCCCCGCTAGGGATCGGGGGCGGGGACTGGTATATTTTGACCTTTGGGGATCGGGGACGGGAAGTGCAATCCCCGGCCCCGGCCCGTTGCTATTCCTAGTTGGAGTCTTCTTCAATTGACTTGGTTCTCCGATAGGGGGGAAAAAAAGACAAACAAAAAGAAAGAAAGAAAAAAAGGATCCTTAAAGCATTCTTAAGAATAAGACACTAATAAGCTTCCACTTGTAAACCCTTCAGGAGTTATGAACATTCTTCCTTGATAACATGATTATTTTAGGCAAAATATAACCTCTTGAAATTATATTGAATAAGACTAGAGGCATTAAGGAAGCAAACAGAAAATTATCTATTCCCAATCCAATATCAATTAGAATAACACCATAATACAAACAATCAGTAAACTGAGACCACTGATTTATAAATCAAAAATTTTACCAAACAAGTTTTTATTCGAGTTTTTTAAATTTTTGTAAATATAAACAGAAAATTGAAAACGTAAGTGCTATCAAACGACACCGAAGAGCTTGACAATCTGAGCAAACAAAGGCAAGATGATAATGATCTCTGATCTGGGGTGCAGATTTGAGATAACGGTGGCGACGGAGTCTGATCTGTGTGTGTGATTGGATTGGATCTGATCTGTGTTATATTTTCAGGCCTAAATTAATTTTTTTTTTTGGTTAGGGTTTTCTTAGATCTATGTGTGTGTCGAACAAACCTCCTAAATTGTTGAGTTGTTGAGTTATCTAAATTTTTTTTTGTTAAATTGTTGATGATTGAGGCTTTTTTGGGAATTTTTCAAATCTGAATTTTCAAAGTTGAGTTTGTTGTGGTTGATGATTGATTAGGGATCGGGGGCGGGGACTGGTATATTTTGACCTTTGGGGATCGGGGACGGGAAGTGCAATCCCCGGACCCCGGCCCCGGCCCGTTGCTATTCCTAGTTGGAGTCTTCTTCAATTGACTTGGTTCTCCAATAGGGGGGAAAAAAAGACAAACAGAAAGAAAGAAAAAAAGGATCCTTAAAGCATTCTTAAGAATAAGACACTAATAAGCTTCCACTTGTAAACCCTTCAGGAGTTTATGAACATTCTTCCTTGATAACATGATTATTTTAGGCAAAATATAACCTCTTGAAATTATATTGAATAAGACTAGAGGCATTAAGGAAGCAAACAGAAAATTATCTATTCCCAATCCAATATCAATTAGAATAACACCATAATACAAACAATCAGATGCAACAACTCCGAAGTAGTCAAGAATGATGAAGTGACAAACATATCAATCAGACATCAACCTTGGTAATATAATCAAACTGCTCTGGTACCAAACATTAAAATAATTAAAAAGTATAATAGACTTGGAGAACCACAAAATGCATTACTGACAAAAGAATATCAGAGAATTTGAGAACATAAAATAATTTATTATTTTCAAAAAAAAAAATGATTTATAGCATGCAAAAAAATTAAAGCATGCAATACACAAAAAATGCTTTAATAATGCATGGAACTAAAATTAGAAAGTAACAGAGAGCAGGAGTATGCAACATGGATGAATTAGCACGTACCTTGCATCTGGAATCCCATGGCAGATTACTTCATTAACTGACCTGAGACAAACAGAAAAAGCCAAAAATATTTACTTAACCTATGTCAGAGTACACATTAACCCAAAGTACATAAACACATAAGAAGTACCTACGTGCAGCATGATTTTGGGAAAAAATGATAATTTAGTGGAGATGGATATCCGCCTGCAGCAGGTAAAATCAGACTAATAGTAAGCAAACCCAACTATTGGTAGTCCTAGATCAAATGGCCTGAACCCAGAAGGTCTAACATGCTTTAAAGATCCTAAGACAATAAACTCCCAAACTAAGAAGAAATTGCTCTAGATATTAATAGCAGTCCCAAAAACAGACCAGAAAAATTCATTACTAAACAATATAATCAATTAAGAAAATTAACAATACCCAAGAAACCAAGGAAAGATTGTTAGTGGCACCAGTAACTCATACTCCCCACTGGACCCAAAAGTCATCATCTCTGTCACCACCAACAGCCCAGAAAGATGGTGTTTCATTAAAGCCATGATATTGCCTTCAAATCTTGGTGTTACAGCATGCACAAAAGTTTCAGCTATATATGACTTAACTACAAAATACACATATACAGATATATATACACATACACATACTTACTTTAGCCAGAATCCTATTCACTGGACATCAATACAAACTTTTATTCACCAAGGACAGACCATGCAGCAGTAAGTATCTTGCACATAAGCAATCATTAACTCTCACTGTTTTTTTCTTTTTAAAAAATGAAAGTAAACCAACGCCTCAAATCAACCAAAGTCCAAAAAACTCAACAACCAACAGAGATATAGTTGATAATCAAACAACATAGAAAGGATATAGAAATAGGTGTGAATCTCATATGGGATATGACAAAGGATGGTCTCTTAAACATATACAGACATATTAGTGGTGTCTGGTTTGCTAAAACAGTAATACAGCCCAGCTGTATAGAATTTGAAGGAGGAAAAAAAAATAAAAAGAAGTTTGGAATCCTTGCAAAACCAGGAGAAAATAAATAAAAGAAAAAATCAGAGAGACAAAGTAGTAGTTTGGAATCCTTGCAAAACCAGGAGAAAATAAATAAAAGAAAAAATCAGAGAGACAAAGTAGTCTCAATCTTTGCCTTTTGGATTAACCTCTCTTCTTTACCTTGGTTGAGAGTCTACTTCATAAAATCAACAAGAAGAAGAGTTACTCATGTGTTTTGCAGAGCTCAAAAATGAATCAACATACCAGCAGCAATTGTTGCTTCATGAACCACGTCATCAATTTCATCAGTAGTCACACCTGGCCGAATAACACGAGCAGCTGCATCCAGAACCTCCCTGGCAATCTGAAGGGAAAATATTTGAAAAAACATAATGCAATAACGGTATTAAAAAATGGGCCATGAGAAGATCACAAAGGATCTATGACAGAATTTTTTTGTTTCTTACCACTTTATTTTGCTTTTATGCAACAAACTCTTTAATTTCCACAACATATTTGAGGTTATGAATTTTCCAGTTATTCCGTATTGTGGATAAAAAAAACTTATAACAAGATATAGCAAAGATCAACGGCATTGACTTCAAGCAAATGTTTCCACTCATACTAAATGTTAGTTTATTCCACTACTGCAAATACACTTGCACCTTCAAAGAGACAAATTAGCAAAAGCAGAAGGCAACTTTGGATAAGGTAATGATAAAACCTATGAAGAAACCATATAATAAGACAGATGTTTGCCTCACACAAATGGAACTTATAAAATTTCCTTTTCATTTTTGAGAAAGAGAGGGTGCTAAGAACTTACTCGGCAAGTTTCTCTCATTCTCTCAATTTGCTGAGGAGTCTTGATCTTCAAAATAGAAAATTAGACATTAAAAAATAAATCAACAAACTGTCTAGTGAAAAAACCCCAACTTGAATAGAAATTCGATTTTAACTTGAAGAACTATTTTTACATACAAAAGTGTACCTCAACAACATGCTGAAGATCACTGTTGGGCTCAATTTTGGGGATCCCCTGCAGTTAATAAGAATTAACATTTGTCAAAATATTAGACGGGAAACATGAAAAGCATTAAAATGACAACAATAGAAATATACAAGTCATGAACACAGCCAGATGCAGCAAAGCTCTCAAATCTAAGAGAATGTGGAAATGCAGAAGTTAGCTTTTAATAGCTAAAATAGATATGCTAATGTCCATTGAAAAATAAATCCATCAAATCATTAACATTTTCATCACATCAAATTATGTATTGACAAATGCCAAATAAAGAAATAAATAAAAGATTACAAAGCAAGCCTTGGTAGTAAAAAAGAAATAAGTCAAATAACTCACATCAATTGCCCAGTCAGGTTGATCAATGTGAACAGGTACTATACGCTTTTTTGATATGGGATATGGCCTTAGTGACCTGTGCAATAACAGCATGAATTTGAGTTTCATGAAATCAAGAAATAAGTTAACCCAAGCTTCAAAAGATGCCAGAACAATACAACATAAAACATGCCATATAGTAACAAAAACAAGAATTCTAATTTCCAAGTGAAATTGAGCTCAAATTGCCTCATGTAGCATTGTATGAACCATTTAAGAGGGGGGAAAACCAAAAAACACAGCACTTCCATGAAGGTGCCATGACCGTGTTTGACACTTGTTGACAATAACACATCAATACACTCCTAGACATGTGTTTGATGCATTGTGGTCCAAAATTCAGAAATAACTTTCATTTTCTGAGACACGGTCAACACATCTCAAATACCCCCCCCCCCCCCCCCCTCTCCTCCTTCTCTCTCTCGCTCAGCACAGCCCAAACTGTCCAACATTTATTTTTAAGAACTTTTAACATCATACACGAGAAAATTACAAGTCAAGCATGCAACAACCACTTTTCAATAATACTAAAGTAACATGACCTATGAAGCATGGATATAGATACAATATAGATACGGTGATACAACAAAACCTACAGAAATAAGATTCTGGTATGGTCAAGATATGCTAGAAAGCAAAAATTATAATATCAAGTCCAATCTAAACTATTTATATTAGTTTATGAGCCCATAGTCAAGTCAGTTAACTTTTTATTGGTGGGTCCTAAAAAAATTTCATTTTAATATCAAGTCCATAACAGATGAATATTGCATGAGATCAATCAGTATTCCTGCCGGCGATTCCCACCCAATATCTTAAGATTATCAATGTAATACATCATGTAAGAGCAAGAAAAAAAAATTAAATTACCCTGTCCAATCAAAATGGGGAAGTTTAGGTGTTCGAGCCTGCCCTTTCTTCAAGCAATATAACCAGCCATCATTAGGTGAAGCTGAATTTTGTTCACCAGGCGAACCAAGCCCAAGTGCGGATAACTTTGCCTTCAAATGAACTGATTTATGAGAGCTCCATGATGACTTGAAACAGTCCTGAGTGCTGGCAAGAAACACAACTTTATCAATAAAAAGGCCACAATATACATATACATATATTAATAACAGAAAGTCAATTGACAGTAAGTTAACCCAACAATTAGGATTTTTTTAGTAATCACCAAAACAATACATATACATATATAAGAACTAATCACCAAAAAAATACATATATATATACACAGAAAGATATATGTATGTATGTATGTATGTATGTATCTACATATCTATCTATACATGATGGGTGTAAGCACACGTGTTTAATTAGGTAAAGACATCAAGTCTACCTCAAAATAGAATCTACGTAGGATGGCACAAGTGAAGAGGAGTATTTCTAGCATATAGCGTGATTGACACATACTAACAAAATTGAAAGGAAAATTCTTTAGAACAACTATAAGGTAACTACTAAAAAACAACGCGTTCATAAAATGAGTGTTGCTTAGATGAAGATGCTCATATGAATGTGGGATAAGACTATGAAAGATAGAATAAGAAATGAATATATTCGTGATATGGTATGAGTAGTTTCTATAAAAGGAAAGTGGATAGAGAATAGATTAAAATAGTTCGGTCACATACAACAAATACTTATAGATATATAATGGTCAGGTAGAGTGATATAATCATTATAAATGAAAATGTTAGGGGTAGGGGAAGATAGATTGACATGAGGTGTTGTCGTAAAAGAATGATACGAATTTATTTAATTTAACTGAGCATATAGCCCTTGACAAAGTGGAATGGCAAAAATTGATTCATGTAGTCAACCCTACTTGATTGGGACAAAAGACTCAGTTTGGTTTGGTTAGGCTTACAAGGCCTGTCTCATAGCATTTCTAATTTCATAATGTCCCTAAAGCTTCCATTACTTACTTTTTTTTTTGGGGAAAACAAACAAACAAAAAAGGGGGTTAGCATTAACCAAACTATATTCACTATATTCATAGAATGCAGGAAGTTATTACAAACCAGAAAGCAGCACCTTCCCGAGGAAGCTTCAATTCCACACACTTGGGGCACCTACAAACAAAAGGAAGAAAAAGAATTCAAGCAAGAAAGAAAGAAACAATACAAAAACTATTAAGTGAAAACTAGACGAAGCTATTCTTCTCAAAAAACTAGAATAATCCTAATTAAGCAAAGAGATTAAGTATTCTCAAGGTATTCATTTTTTTCTTTACACAAAGAAAGAAAGATGTAATGAAGCAGGTTTAACATTTATACTTTCATCACAAATGATGAAAATTTAGAAACACACAAATATGTCGTGTAACCTCCTACTGGGTATGACCCAATGATAAAAGAAAAACAATATAAATTTATATATATTAAGGCCTCGTTTGGCAAGTGACTTTTTTAGCCAAAAAGCCAACAACTTATACCACAAAGTCAAAGATTTCATTTTCTCTTTACTTTTTGCACATCTTTTCGTACAAAGTTAAAAAGTAATCCCAAACATATTAGTTTTTTTTCATCATATTTTAGCTAAAAAGTTACTAAAAAAGCATGTTCCCAAACGAGGCCTAATCCATTATCTTTTGAATTTTAAAAATTAGTAATTTAGTATTATGTTGCATTTTTTTACTATATTTGAATGTAATATTTATATATATTAAGGCCTGGTTTGAGAACAAGTTAATTTAGTAACTTTTTGACTATCTGGCTAAAATATGAGCTAAAAAAAAACTAGTATGTTTGGGATGACTTTTTGGCTTTTTACGAAAAGATGTGCAAAAAGTAGAGAGAAAAGAGAATATTTGACTTTTTGGTATGAGTTGTTGGCTTTTTGGTTTTTTTAGTAAATTTTTGACTTTTTGGCTAAATGGCCTGGTTCCCAAACAATGCCTAAATATATAAAACTATATATTGCACATGTTCCCAAGTGTTGTGTCCTTTATTAATTAAAAATTGTTGTATCAAAGCGTCCATGTAGTGTTGCATGTCAGTGCTTCTTAGTCCCTACACAATAATGTCTCATCATCATAACAACGTTTTATTAGTATAAGAATGACCAAGCTGATGATAGCAACCCAGGTACAGAAATGGTGTTGTTTGATCAAATGATACAATTTGGTCTATTTTTGTGGAGAAGCTAATTTACTTTATCCACATAAAAGAAATTTGGTTATTTAAACATTGCAAGATAGGTGACAGGACTATTGGAATGGCGGGTTTTGTTCCACAAATAGGCCCACGAAGAGACTCTAGAATCAGAGGGCCAGAGCGAAGCCCTCCAAAAATGGAGTTATATAAATATGTTCTTTGTGATAGATATAGAGAGTGAAAAAACAAAGAACACAGGCTTGCTAAACCCCATCTCTTATACTCAATTTTCTACTCCAAGCCTAATGGACACTTCATCATCCTAAATACTTTAATCGAGGGGTTTGAGCTGAAATTGAAGGATACAAAGGGGAAATGTTAATGTTAACCTTGTTTTATTTATTTGTTTTGTTTTTAAGAAGGGAAAGACAACCGAATGGAGGGGTTGTGAGGGGAGAGAGTTTCACAATTTAAGCGCTTTTCTTAATCTTACACTCCAAAACTGTGAGGTAAGTGGAGTGCATACTAAGATAATTTTTTTTATAACCAAGAATACCTATCCTATAAAATTTAATTCCGCCGTTATATATTCAATTTCTGCACATCCCTTCCCTTAACAGTTGTTGTCTAACCAAATAAAAGGACCCTCCCTTACTCTGTTGATTATTGTCTAACCAACACATTCCCAGTTAATAATCATCGAACCAATCAAAAAATAAGATAACTCCCTTCCCTTTTCTACTTCCCCTCATAACTACACTTACCTTCACTTCACTATTAATTCCCCAAAATTCTATTCTATTCTATTCCTTAAGGCTGTGTTTGGTTGGAGGATTTGATGAGGGACCTGGAGAGGGAAAGGGAAAGGGAAATGGAAAGAAAAGGAGAAAGAATTGGTAGGATTCAAATTCCAAACTATGTTTGGTTGAGTTGGGAAATGGAGAAAGAAAAGAGCCTAAGTGAACCCAAAAGATAAAAAGTGGGATTTTCCTCTCATTTTCTTTTCCCTGTGTGTTTTCCATTATAACCAAACAAAAAGTGGGATTGCATTTCTTTTTTCATTTTCCATTTCTCTTATCAATCCTCCAACCACACACAGCCTAAAGATATGAAGATGAAGCATTCAGATATAGATATTATGTGTAGATTATTGCGAAAAAAACAAACAAACAAAAAAGCATGAAAAATTGATTCTTTTTCAAAATACAGTTGCCGAGAAGCTAATCAAAGTATAAAAATAAAAATAAAAAATGATTACGTACTGAAGATGAGCAGGCTTGCCACATTGAGCACACGATAAGGTAGATACGGCCGCATCTGATCCACCGGCCATCGAAACGATCTCTGCAGTCTGTAATGCAAAAAAAACCAATTCAGTAGTTTTGTATATACTATATCACAGAACAAAGTGATCGGTCAAAGAGTGATGAAGATTATATGTATATATATGTATGTATTAGGGCTGCTGAGTAAGAAGTGATGGTGAAGCACAGACCTTGAATTGAGAAAGAGAAAATGGCGAAGATAGTGATTGGAACACAGACAGAGAGAGGCTAGGCTAGGGTTCCGTAAAAGAGACCTCGTGGAAAAGCAGCCCGCTTGGGAAATGGGAAAATGAGATTACACAACAAAATGCTTATTTATATTTGTACTTAAATAAATAAATGAGTAAGGCCAAGTTTGACGGTTACAAATAATCCATCTTTTCATTTTATTTTATTTTTTTATTATTTTATTTTTTTATTTTTTTACATATTTTTTTGTAAAAAGATAAAAAATACACTTAGGCTAAGTTTGGAAAGACTAAATAAGTGCACTTTTTGACTTTTCTTGTATTATGTGTAGAAAAATAGAGAGGAGATGTTGATTAATGTAACCCAAAAAAGATAAAAAGATGAAATAAGTGCACCTTTTTAGTTTAGCCAAACTTGACCTTATTTAGCCTCCGTTTGGGAAGTGGGTTGGCTTTTTAGCTTTTTGATTTTTTTGGCTATTTTAGCCTAGGCTTAAAAGCTTGGTTTGGGAAGGACTTTTTGACTTTTTGGCTTTTTTAGAAGCACAGACCTTGAATTGAGAAAGAGAAAATGGCGAAGATAGTGATTGGAACACAGACAGAGAGAGGCTAGGCTAGGGTTCCGTAAAAGAGACCTCGTGGAAAAGCAGCCCGCTTGGGAAATGGGAAAATGAGATTACACAACAAAATGCTTATTTATATTTGTACTTAAATAAATAAATGAGTAAGGCCAAGTTTGACAGTTACAAATAATTCATCTTTTCATTTTATTTTATTTTTTTATTATTTTATTATTTTATTTTTTTATATATTTTTTTGTAAAAAGATAAAAAATACACTAAGGCCTCGTTTGGGAACAGGCTAATTTAGTAATTTTTTGGCTATTTGGCTAAAAAGGTAGGTAAAAAAAACTTGTATGTTTGGGATGACTTTTTGGCTAATTACGAAAAGATGCGCAAAAAGTAGAGAGAAGAGAGAATTTTTGACTTTTTGGTATGGGTTGTTGGCTTTTTGGCTAATTTAGGCACCGTTTGGCAAGAGCTAAACGGGGCTTTTTTGGCTATTTTAGCCACAAAAGACAAAATAGGCTATTTTAGCCACAAAAAACAAAATATCACATCCAACTCATAATCATTACATTCTTTTCTCACAAAAAAAGCCAAAAAAGCCAAAAAGCCAAAAGCTCTTCCCAAACCAAACTTTTTAGCCCAGGCTAAAATAGCCAAAAAAGCCAAAAAGTCAAAAAGCCAACCCACTTCCCAAACGGAGGCTAACTTTTTGGCTAATTGACTAAAATAGCCTCTTGCCAAACGAGGCCTTAGGCTAAGTTTGGAAAGACTAAATAAGTGTACTTTTTGACTTTTCTTGTATTATGTGTAGAAAAATAGGAGGAGATGTTGATTAATGTAACCCAAAAAAGATAAAAAGATGAAATAAGTGCACCTTTTTAGTTTAGCCAAACTTGACCTTATTTAGGTCATCTCAAACAACCCTTAATAGTTTTATAAAAATAATTTATGTAATTTATTTTTTTAATAATTTTTAAGTAAATTTTATGATCATGGAAAAATAATGAGATTCAAAACGTGACATAGTCATGTTAATGTCAATTATTATCATGTGTCCATATTTGAATTTCATTTATTTTTAATGTAATTTATGTAATAAATGTCATGAGTATAAATACAATTTATTAAATTTAAAAATAGTGATGAATTTTACTACAATTTTTTTTTTATAGATAATTAATCTTATACGTACACATTTGAAATAAATTAGTTAAATTTTTCTGGCAATATATATCAGTTTCGAGATTTGTTATAAAGTGGTATTTTGAGATGTTGATAAAAAATTAATTTTTTAACTTTTTTTAGTTTTTGGTGACTTTTTTAGCCAAAAAAAAATGATTTTGTTTGTATTTTTTCGTGTTAAAAAGTTAAAAAATCAAAAAAATTGACTTTTTAGCAAGTTTTCAAATTGTCCCAAAGAGGTAAAAAAAGATTTTGTATAAATTTTTATACACTTTTTTGTTGTATGCATATAAAAAAAGCAAAAGAAAGAAAAGGAAATGAGGATGATACTTTTTTGTTGGGTTAATCTAGAAGGGAATAGAAGAGAAATGTGTACTGTCCATTTCCTCTAGATTGAGAAAGGTGGACGAGAGAAATTGAAAGAAAAAAAAAAAAAGTTTTATATGCAAGAGATAAAAATGAAATTCATTTAATAAAAATTAGAAACAAAATTAATAATTTATAATTCTCATTAAATTTTTTTTGTCCAAATCTCTACAATTTTGGAGTGGTTCAACAAGTTGCTATAAATTATCTCATTTTCTCCTCAATTATCCCCATTTCCCTCATTAAACTATCTAAGTGAATTAGGAGGTAATAGTTTACTTTTGTTTGCTTTTCTTTTATCCCTAATCAACCAATTTCAAGATTGTTATAATGTATACAAAGATTTGATGGAACAATTCTAATGTGTACTGTGTGAACTACATAAATAATTGTATCAAATATATTACTAAATTATATAAAAAAAAATTTAATTTAAAAACAACATAAATTATTTGGGTGAAATCAAACCAAATCATATATAGAGAAATAAAAATTTTATAGATAGATTGTGTAAATTTGGAACCCAAAATAATTTGATCGAGGCTTGTGTTAGACACAATATCCTTAAAACAAATTCGTCCCCCATTACGGTACTCACGAGTTTTATCAGATGTTCGTCTCCCAAAATATAATGACAGAACCTTGCAGAAGTAGTACTACTACTGCAAATATGGCGAACCTTACTATATGTAGAATTCTTTTACATAAAGGACAAAGTGTCGAAAGGAAAGAAACACAAGATGAAATAGATTAACCAATGAATGCAATGGGGCTTGTTTATATATGTGAATTAGTGACTCTTTGAATGATTATGGTGACTTTTCGAAAGAGTCGCATCATTTCCATGGAAAATGTGCAATCATAAAAGATATGATTGTTCTTACAAACAGATTCGAATTTTGTATTAGATCCGCACTACAAGAAATCACACTTTTGCCGACCACTTTTACTGACTAAAGAAATTTGATAGCCAATTTTTTTCCCCATGATTTAATCATAGAAATCATGTTTTTTGACGACTAATTTGTATTGTTGTTAGCAAAAAATTGAAGCGGAGTGTAAAAAAGCATGAGACATAAAACTTTTAGCGACTGGTAAAATTCGGTCACAAATAGCAAAACGATCACTTTTGCTAACTAAATATTATTTAGTCGTGAAAAACACATATTTGCCAACAAAAAAAAGAATAGTAGGAAAAAAAATTATTTTCCACAACTAATGTGATTTAGTCGTAGAAATGTTGTGTTTTGTGACTAAATTGAAATATTGGTCGTGAAAATTAGGAGCAGGAACGTGAAAAAAAAAAAAACTGGAGCCAAAAAATGTTTAGCGATTAATGAATTTTGATCGCAAATATGAAAATAGCGTCATTTTGATGGCTAGCATAACTATTGTATTATGTGGTGACCAAAACTTGTAGTAAAGGAAAAAAATTCAAGGCCTTCTGAAATTTCACAAACTTGCAACCAAGTGATTGACTAGAAAAAATATCTAATACTTTTGGTGACTAAATTTGTTAGTCGGTGTTTCACTACTCACCAATGTTTTAAAAACCGGACCGGTAAGAGAACCGGAAAATGGATCAGGTGGAAGGGTCATCAATTCAACCATCAAGTTAAACCAGAATCAAATTGTAATGTCATAATTATTTTATAAATATATTAAAATTTATATAATAATAACCTAAGAACTAAGATAAATTTATTTAAATTATTTTTAAATTTGAGATAAATTTATAATTACATAAATATATTTATATTTATTATTTGTAAAATATATTAATTGCATGTAATGTTTGAAAGAAAATGTAATATAGATATATATTTACCAAATTTAAACAAAAGTTGAATGTGGCATGGTTAGGAATAGCAAAGGGCTGGGGCTGGGGCGGGGCCGGGGATTACACTCCCCATCCCCGATCCCCGAAGGTATAAAATTTCCCATCCCCGCCCCCATTCCTTAACAGGGAACCCCATCACCTCCCTCTCCTACCCTCTAATGAGGATTGGGTTTCCCCAACCTCGAAAAATCCTCGACCAAAAAAAAAAAAATTAGCCACAAACATGATATTCAACCACAGATTTAATATTCAACAATAACAACACAACAGATTTAACAACAACAGATCTACGATTTAACAACAACAACAACAACACAACAGATTTAAAAAATAAAGAGAGAGAGAGAGAGAGAGAGAATATAAATGATGAGAAAGAGAAAGATAGATCTGCGATGGTAAGGTGGTAGTGGAATGACAAAGGCGGTGGTGGAGCAGCGATGAGAGAGGGAGGGGAGAGGAGATGCGATCGACTCTTGTTGTTGAATGACGGAGGCGTGGTGGAATAGCAGAGGCGTTAGTGGAGCAACGGGTGAGAGAGGTAGGGGAGATGAGCTGCGATCGAATCTTATCGTTGAATGGCAGAGGCGGTGGGACGACGTCGTTTCTGGTGACATCTTCGTTGGTTGGGTTGTGGGACTCCATCTCTATGGTTTACTCATTCTCTGTTTCGATCGACGTGGGTTTAAGGTTAGGGTTTTGAATATGAGAGAGAGAGAGAGAGAGAGAGAGAGAGAGAGAGAGAGAGTGATCCAAATCTGAGAAAGAAGAGGGGTATATATATATATATATGAATGGATAGAGGGGTATAAAGGTAATTTTACTTCGGGGGGGAAAACAGGGTGGGGACAAGGCCGGGACGAGGCTGTGAAAGCTATCCCTGTCCTCGGCCTGAAACTAATCGAGGATGCATTTTTTGAACACCATCCCCCGTCCGTCGGGAGTATTTTTTGGAAAAAAAACCATTGTAATTAGGAACGGGGGGTAGGGTCCCCGTCGGGCCGAATTCAAATTGCCATCCCTAGGCATAGTGGTTATTTGTCATACTATTTCTAAGTGGTTTTGTGTTCAACTCTCCCAAGAAAACATAGTTTCACAAATTTGCTTGTCATTTGGCAAAATGGAAGCTCAATCGGTTTAGTTGAACAGCACCCAGACCAACT